ATAATTGTAAGACACTCACAATGACACATTTTGATCATAAGAAAATCAGATTTGCAGTGTTACCAGATAAGTAATAGATGAAATATACCGAAAGATCATTTTCATTCAATTTAATTCGCAAAATTCTTCAGAAATGAAAAAAAAGGGAATGATGAAAATCTCTCCAGCTCGTGCGATTCGTTTCCCCAAAAGTATTCGCGGTGCGTATGTCCCTGAATATATTTGAGTAAAAATAATAATATATCGAATATGCATATATCGAACTGATCGAATGCAGTACCTCTCTGCTGATCATGGACTATAAAGAGTTCCTGGCCGCACGCGCCGTGCAGGCGGCGTGGCGAGGCCATCAACAGCAGGAAGCATTCCATTACGCCACGAAGGCTGCCATCACCATACAAAGATGGTGGCGAGGCTTTCACGCACGCAATCGTTTCTTCTCCATCGTTGAGCAGATGGTGCAGGATGGAGCGATCGCCTTTTACAACAGAGCGGCGACCAAGATACAGGCGTTCTTTCGGGGCTGGTACACACGGAAGACAGTCCACGATATGCACAACCTGCGACGCATGCAAATCTGTGCCGCCGAGGATCTGCTCAATGATGTGGCCTGCAAGCTGCATCATCTGCTGCGCACATACTCCATACCTGGCATCTACTCCCTACGCAACTCACAGTGGGTCGCACACATTCACAGTGACTCAATGCTCAACTGATTGATTGCCTTGCTTGCCCACAGCTGTCTATCGAAGGTGGAACAGCTGATGACCAGCATGACGTATCGATTTCTCAATGATCGTGCGAGCTACCATCGGGTGCGCCGGGAAACTTTGGCCAGGACTCAAGCCACTCAATTCGAACGAAACGCCCATTATACGAATGTACCCTATCCGGGTCCCAATTTCAACAGCGCGTGCGAGCCCTGTCGCGAGGACATAATCATCAACAAGCCCATAGAGCTGTGCATGTACAAGATTATTACGGAATACGAGCGAGCTGCGGTCAACCCGACTATAGCCAAGACACGCAGAACTCTAACTACTCGTGAGTAACAAATGTTTTCAATTAGATATGATAGCATGAACCCAATGAAAATGGGAATGTTTTTGTGTTTCATTATATATATTGTATACCATTCTTTTCCATTTTAAATGGTACACTGCACCCACTCTTACCTCTCAACTCTTACTTTGCTCTCTATCGAGCACTCTTCCCATTCAATCAGGTAAATTTCACGCGCAATCGCGAAAAATGTGGGAGAAAGTGGGCAAGGTGCAAGGCGATTTTTGCAGCGATGTCATCAACAGCATGCGTAAGTGGCATATTTGGAATGCTAAGAAGCTAATAGTAGCCCGTGACATCTATCGCGATCCCGAGAAACTGTCATATTTCCTAGACGATGTCTCAAGATTGCTCAGAGAGTATACACAGTCCTGTTACTGCCATGAAAGTACACTTCCGCAAATTTAAGACCAAATTCGATTGTGAATCAGTGCTTGTCCATATATGTGGCATTACGAGCACGCACGACTCGACACGACTTGTTTCACGTAGGAACTGTGCAGTTGTTTCGTGCTGGCTCGCAGATGCAACTCAAAGGAAATGACATGATGTCTAAATATAAATTTTAAGAGAATCTCTTTTAAATGTAAAATGTCTAAATTAAGTGTATAAATAAAAATTAAGAAGAAAACAAATATTTATCTTATATATAAAATTCTCGTAAATATATATATAAATGGAAAAAAATTATTGTTGTTGACTACGATATCTGAACACTTTAATCCAATATAATAGAAATAGTGTAATAGAAAACGATATTATTGATATAAAGTGTATAAATAATATCTGTTTTAGGCTTAAGAAATTT